AAGTGAGAATGAGAAACAAGTGTAAGAAGGTGGCGAGGGTGCGTCAGCGAGTGGTGGAGGCTCAGAGGAGCGCCACAGACGACAAGAAACTCGGAAACCGGACCGAGTCAGCACTGGATTATCTCCTACAGTACAAACAGCTGTCACATTTACTGGAGGCCTTAGTCCATCTAGGTATAACTGTACAAACTTTATTTATTTAAGAAGTCAGAGCTCAGTATTTCATGGAAGGAAAGTATACTACTGTATAGGGGATTAATTTCACGGGTTGTAATTTTCACGGTTTTCTCTCATCGGACACGATCGTGGTTTCTTGAATTCGCGGAATTCTTATGTTATAGAAGTTACCTCCCTTTTAATCCATATCATATGTACATGTAAACAACATTTATCAGCGTGAGGTCTTTATTTCACGAACAACAGGGTAGGTGTATACAAAATAGCTAGACTTAATAAATAAATAAATAATTACGATTAAATAAATCAGGTGCAGTTATCAAAAGTCCTTGACTATAAACGTCAAATGACTTTTCTGTATGCTATTACAATGAGTGCATGTACACCCCAAGACTTTTAAAACAACGCGGCGAAAAAAATACTGGACGGTAATAAATGTGTTAATGAGTTAATGTAGATCGACGAAATAACATCCTTCCAAATCTTCAATAAGTTCAAAAGTTATTTGATTGATTTTTTAAAAATCAAAATGTCGATAAAAACTATAATATGCATGAACAAATACACATTAGTTATGTGTATTAGTTTAACATTAGTTAAATATACATAACATTAGTTACGCACGGGTAATCAAAACTCATGGCCCACGTGTTTTAATTGATGAAACATGTAGCGTTGGCTATTTAAAAAAGCCTTTTAACATATACAGGCTATTATCTGTTGATTTGAATTAATGGAAAGCGTGTTAATTAAAATAATTGAATGACAAATACTACTCGTAATTACTGAAATGACCATATACTGTGGTATGTGTATTTTAACCTATCGTAGTCTATTCTCAAATTTCCAAATTAAACATGGAGATTATTGAAAAAATTATTCACTGTTTTCCTTGAAATCGCGGATTTATAACTACCGTGAATATAGCGAATATCAACACCGCAAGTTATTTTCCCCCTATACAGTATTTTTTAAACTTTATTCTTGATTCCTCAGATTAAATTGAAACTGACCTTAAATACATGTAGTATCTAATGTCAGAATGCATTTACTATGCATCATGGTACAAAAGGGTACTTAGTAAGCATGATCAGTAATATCTCATACCTCTGTCCATTATTTTTTTTCAGATGTGGCGACACGTTTGTCCCCAGCCTGCTGTGAGAGACTGGTAGAAGTGAATGCTGTGTCAGTGATTTATACACTGATCAGTAGCTGTAACAGGAGTCAACCTCACATGGAGGTCATTAAAATGGCTGTCAGCATTCTGCTTAATCTGGCCAAGGTACTTTGTGCACAGTGTAAAATGAATTAAAAAAATTTGCTAAATGCACAATTTGATTGGAGGCAAAAACTTATTTCATAAACTCTTTATAAACAGCGTTGAAGTTTATAAGGCCTTAAATGTTCCAATTCAGGTTATACAATATAAGTTGGGTATCTTTTTAAAATATTTCTTCAAATAAATAAATTTTACCACTCCTGTGAAAGTATTTACAGAGTAATATGTTGATGACATTTCAGTATGACAGAACCTTGCCCTATGTATTTATGGATGAAGCATTGAATATCCTGCTGGACCTGATGCAGATATACAGAGAGAAAGGCCTCATATTTAACAGGACCTGTACCCTGGTGGGAATTTTAGGCAGAGATGAATGTCGAAGAAAGGTAAATAAAAAAAAACCCAGCTCTGTGAGAGCTTCAAGTGTTTGTTCATCAGGGGATAATGATTACTCCTTAATGCAGTTGATGTATCACATAGTGACATATGATATTGTTTTCATATCAACAATTGTGACGTTTATAATTAGGCAGTAATTAGGCATTAACTATTGAGAATATCAACTTTTAATGCAATAATTTATATCATTAAGATTTGCAGCTGCAATGCTTAATGCTGTAAACAAACTATTATTTACGAGTCTAAAGACAAACTTTAGCTTGCGAATATTAATTGCTGTAAACCATTTATTTTGGTATGTTTTGGTAGAGAATGTTTCCCAAGCTTGGGAAATTAAACGTTGTTGACTCATTGAAAACTGACGAATAGTGAATAAAAAATGACATGAATGATAGTTGATTTACAGTAATATTCCTATCAATAAGTTGCATTTAATTGTTAGAAGTTGCTACATATAGCAATAATGTTTAAAAAATCATAATTCACATTTTAATATTGTATGTACACGCATTATAATTTTTCTTTAATTTTCCAGATCATACTCTCCCAGCCTCGAGTGACAGAGCGACTCCAGAGTCTGTATAAATTGACGGCCAGAAAATACAAACTTCATGAGAACCAGCAAATGCGACAAGCCAAACTAAACGCATCAAAAGCAATGAACTACACCCTTCCTATCCGAGCTACCCCTCACAAACTCCCAAAGATCCGACCTGACTGGGTATTACACAGGGGATCCTTACATAACATAGACAATCCCATGCAGGCCATTAGTGTTGTTATTGACAGCCTACATATTGTACGAAGTTGATTTACTGTGTACTGTTTTCTTTATTTATACCCCTTTTTACTCCATCTCTCAACTTCTTCTTTCTGTTATAAGGAAAGTATTTTCTCTTTTCATCTGAGTGTGAAGTCTTCAATCTTTTGTGACAATTTTATGCATTTTGGTGGTTATCACTAACTTCATTGTCAGCATCTGCACACAAACTGCTGGAACAATTTCCTGCGAAATATGCTTCAAGTTTAGGGATTGTCAAAATAAAGGGCCACTGTAACAAAGATTGATATATACCATTGAACCAAAGTAGAAAACAACTCTATTCAGTGAAAATTCGAATTAATTCATCTTATTGTACAAGGTTAGAATGTATTTATAGTTTGAAGTTTTATGTAGAAATGCATGAAGACTTCTTCTGTGAACATTGACATTTCAGCAAATGGATGGATGATTGATTTTTCTCCGAGGAAATTTTTAGAGGGGAAGTCTGACAGTTTTATGATAAAAATACTTTCTGATGTTTCTATGATATGATTTTTTTTAAAGGAAGAAAATGTAATATTTTAAGTGTTTTTTTTTTAACTCAATGAATATGCTTTGGTATCAAATACCATACACCATCAAATTTTTCTGCTGTAAATGTTATTTGTAGCATGATTTGAAATGAAATAGTCATAACTCCAAAATCATAGTGTTTGTTATTTCTGTGGACCTTAATCCAAGTTGTTTTGAAACAAAAGCTGCTGCAATGAAAAACCAGAAGTCTGACAAGACTGTAGCTCTACTGGTCTGTACTTTATACAAAGGTAGATAAAAGTAACACTTGGACTTGTAACAGTTTAGTCTCTTTGTTGCAATTAAACTTAAACAGAAGGAAGAATATAGCTTCTTTAAAGAATTTTACAGAAATTTTGATTATAGCTCTCGGTAACAATGACAATCATATTAAAAAAAAACTGACAATTATGTATCTCTATGTAGTCTGCTTGTGTACCAAGTTATATTGAAATCGGACCAAAATTGGAGAAGCGGTTAAGTAACCATGGCAACACCAAAAACGGATATTATGTATCTTAGTGTAGTCTACTTGTGTTCCAAGTTATACTGAAATCATACCAAAACTGTAGGAGGAGTAGCATTTTGAAACAATTTCAAGGAAATTACCATGGCAACATCATTCACGGAAATCAAAAATCGATATTCAGAATTATATAGCTTAGTGTAGTCTAATTTTGTGCCAAGTTATAATGATGAAAACTGTAGGAGTAGTGGCGTTTTGAAAGTTTTTCCCAGAAATCTATTTTTGTAATACGGCAACACCGTTCATTGAAAAAAAAAACTGAGGCCACCTTTAAAAATTGTTTGGTTGCTTTCTTCAGAACGACTGACTAAAATGGCCTGACTCAAAACTTTTTTTACATTCCTATTTAGATATTTTTTTTCTGATTATTCCTCTCATTCTGTCAACCAATATGTTGAAATAATCTTCAAAAAAAATACCTACCTACCTTACGACCTATAAATAAATCTACAGTCAGAGTCGGGAGAGGGCAAGCAAACATTATTTTAAAGGTGAGTCTACGTGTACTTAGTAGTCTACTTGTGTGCAAAGTAAAATTGAAATTAGATTAAACTACAGGAGGAGCACTGGGTTTTGAAATACATATATAGTTTACAGACAGACGGAGTCACGGATCACCTTAAGTTTTTATCTTCAAGATATTTGATAACATGTGTCTGTCCCTTTACGAGAATGAAGATATATTTGTTTCATCAACGTGTTTGTCAATAGTTTGCCTTGTTTTTAGATAATGTTCGTAATTGGAACATGCTCTTGCGTATCGAGTCAACTTGGAAACTAAATTCTATAAGTAGGGAATACTGCTTCATAAAATGGGAAGTTGACGACATTATGTTGAGTCATTTAAGGTTACCGTAAACACCATTTTTTCTTGTAAAATATTGATCCCAATTCTTTAGTTCTTTTTCTTCCTTGATTGATAAGCTAAGACGAAATTAGAATGCACAGGAAAATCCTTTTGTCACTGCAATTTGCAGATAAATACACAACGGAATTTTATTTCTGTAAGTATATAAACGATATTAACAACAGTTTTAACCTGCAGAATTCTGAAATCATGAAATCTATGTTTCAGCATGTTCAGGATGGACATTGTTTACGCAACTGTTGTTTTCTTGATTACTTTGGCTACAACTGCTGGTAAATAAATACTGTGTAAAAAAATATTACCATTATATATTTACTTATACAGACGCGGATCCAGGAATTGAAGTTAGAGGGGGCGCCAAAAGTAGGCAAGGGGTCTTGCCCTAACAAAAAAATACTATAGTTAACTATAGTTAACTATAGTGATAACTTTGACACTTTGAAAACTTTGATTTACTTTAGTGATAACTTTGACACTTTGAAAAACTTTAATACTTTGAAAAACTTTGAGGAAAACTTAAACACTTTGAAAAACTTTGATGAAAACTTGACACTTTGAAAAACTTTGACGAAAACTTTGACACTTTGAAAAACTTTGACGAAAACTTTGACACTTTGAAAAACTTTGACACTTTGAAAAACTTTGACGAAAACTTTGACACTTTGAAAAACTTTGACGAAAACTTTGACACTTTGAAAAACTTTGACGAAAACTTTGACACTTTGAAAAACTTTGACGAAAACTTTGACACTTTGAAAAACTTGGACGAAAACTTTGACACTTTGAAAAACTTTGACGACAATTTTGACACTTTGAAAAACTTTGACAAAAACTTTGACACTTAGAAAAAGTTTATCGTAAACTTTGATACCTTGAAAAAGTTTATCGAAAACTTTGACACCTTTAAAAAAGTTTATCAAAAACTTAGATACTTTAAAAAACTTCATGGAAAACTTTGAAATTTTGAAAACTTTGATGAAAACTTGACACTTTGAAAAACTTTGACAAAAACTTTGACACTTTGAAAAACTTTGACGAAAACTTTGACACTTTGAAAAACTTTGACTAAAACTTTGACACTTTGAAAAACTTGGACGAAAACTTTGACACTTTGAAAAACTTTGACGACAATTTTGACACTTTGAAAAACTTTGACAAAAACTTTGACACTTAGAAAAAGTTTATCGTAAACTTTGATACCTTGAAAAAGTTTATCGAAAACTTTGACACCTTTAAAAAAGTTTATCAAAAACTTAGATACTTTAAAAAACTTCATGGAAAACTTTGAAATTTTGAAAAACTTTATCAAAAATATTGACATTTTGAAAACGAAAACTTTAATACTTTGAAAAAATCGAAAACTTTAATACTTTGAAAAACTTTATCCAAAAATATGACACTTCGAAAAACTTTATCGAAAACTTTGAAACTTTGAAGAACTTTATCGAAAACTTATATACTTTGAAAAACTTTATCGAAAACTTATATACTTTGAAAAACTTTATCGAAAACTTTTTAACTATTTATTACTTTATTTAATACTTTGTCTCTTTGAAAAACTTTATCGAAAACTTTGACACTTTAAAAAAAAAACACCTTATCAAAAACTTGGTAACTTTGAAAAACTTTATCGAAAACTTGGATACTTTGAAAAACTTTATCGAAAACTTTGAAAAACTTTATCGAAAACTTTGACACTTTGAAAAACTTTGACACTTTGAAAAACTTTGATGAAAACTTTGACACTTTGAAAAAGTTTATCGTAAATTTTGATACCTTGAAAAATTTTATCGAAAACTTTGACACCTTGAAAAAGTTTATCAAAAACTTAAATACTGTGTAAAAAAATATTACCATGATATATTTACTTATACAGGCGCGGATCCAGGAATTGAAGTTAGAGGGGGTGCCAAAAGTAGGCAAGGGGTCTTGCCCTAACAAAAAAATACTATAGTTAACTATAGTGATAACTTTGACACTTTGAAAACTTTGATTTACTTTAGTGATAACTTTGACACTTTGAAAAACTTTGAGGAAAACTTTGACACTTTGAAAAACTTTGAGGAAAACTTAGACACTTTGAAAAACTTTGATGAAAACTTGACACTTTGAAAAACTTTGACAAAAACTTTGACACTTTGAAAAACTTTGACGAAAACTTTGACACTTTGAAAAACTTGGACGAAAACTTTGACACTTTGAAAAACTTGGACGAAAACTTTGATACTTTGAAAAACTTTGACGAAAACTTTGACACTTAGAAAAAGTTTATCATAAACTTTGATACCTTGAAAAAGTTTATCGAAAACTTTGACACCTTGAAAAAGTTTATCAAAAACTTAGATACTTTAAAAAACTTTATGGAAAACTTTGAAATTTTGAAAAACTTTATCGAAAATATTTACACTTTGGAAAACTTTTTATAAACATTGACACTTTGAAAAAATCGAAAACTTTAATACTTTGAAAAACTTTATCCAAAAATATGACACTTCGAAAAACTTTATCGAAAACTTTGAAACTTTGAAGAACTTTATCGAAAACTTATATACTTTGAAAACTTTATCGAAAACTTATATACTTTCAAATCTTTATCGAAAACTTTGACACTTTAAAAAAAAACACCTTATCAAAAACTTGGTAACTTTGAAAAACTTTATCGAAAACTTGGATACTTTGAAAAACTTTATTGAAAACTTTGACACTTTGAAAAACTTCGGCGAAAACTTTGACACTTTAAAAAACTTTGACAAAAACTTTGACACTTTGAAAAACTTTGGCGAAAACTTTGACACTTTGAAAAACTTTATCGAAAACTTTGACACTTTGAAAAACTTTGGCGAAAACTTTGACACTTTGAAAAACTTTGGCGAAAACTTTGACACTTTGAAAAACTTTGGCGAAAACTTTGACACTTTGAAAAACTTTGGCGAAAACTTTGACACTTTGAAAAACTTTGGCGAAAACTTTGACACCTTGAAAAACTTTGGCGAAAACTTTGACACTTTTACTATAGTAAACTATAGTAAACTATAGTATTTTTTTGTTAGGGTGGGGCCGCCTTGAGGCCCCCGGTGGGTGCAGGGCTCCTGAATTCTAGAGATTTTAAAGGGTAAAAATGAGGTCTACTGAGTAGATATATTTACATTTTCTAGACGAAGCTGTAATTTACCTTAACTTTGACAATTTTAGGGGGGGGGGCGCCGGGTGCGCCCCCCCTTAAATCCGCCACTGTTATACATATTAAATGCATGGTATAATTATAATTATGGTATAACTATACTGAAAGGAAAAAGAAACGCATAATAGCATAAAAGCAAAAAATATTTAACTATATGAGGCCGAAATTGGTCAGATGTGTATTTTGGTTACTGTGCACTAAAATCACTGGTCAAAATTACTAAACCATGAAATGTATGGTGTCACGTAGGGGAAGTGATAAAAAGCCAAATACACGTGCATGTTGATAATGACAATTTTGTGACCACATTTTGTAGTGCCAAGAGATGCATTAGAGTTATAGACATCGTTTTCCGATATTAGCAGTCAGTATAAATTTCTTGCAATCATGGTATGGCTGACGGAAGTTACATTGGGTCTAGTAATTGAGTTGCATAAGTGAATAAAAATGCAACAACATGTTGCTGTGCAGTTTGTTTTTTAACTTTTCAACCAAAAAAGTTTTTTCGGTTGTCAGAGAGTAACTTAAAAGGTTTTCAACCAACCATGAGGGTGACGTTGGCGCGTAACAACGTCACATCAAGATAGGGCTTTTCATCATGCTACCTCGGTTATCACTGAAACTGATATTTTTACAGCAGGCAATCCTACTCATATTTTCACCCTAATACTGACATAAACTCTCTGCTCTAATTTGGTACGCAAGCTTGGCAACTTTACGTCGATTTTACTCTGACACGCGCACGTACGCGCCGTATGCGTATTGCTTTTAGCATGTTCATGCTGTGAAAATGTAGCCAGTGTTTGTCGATACTTCCTTACAAACATTCACGTGTACCAAATCAGCTAGATTCTGTAAATTCTATCCTAAATCGAAAATTCGTGGGATTCATTGGGCGGGGGATTTGTTGGCTTTGGAATAATACAGCTACTCTCAATCATTAAGACTACGTCGGAAGGCTTGAATGATAATCCTTTACAAAGATAAATGCTCTGGTGAACTCAATGCACAAGAAAATTAAGGCTGTTACTGATGCGCAAGGGCGATGATGAGAATTTTTATTTTAATTTTGGGGGATATCGACATTTTAATTTCAATAACTTAGGAATTATCAGTCAAATTCACACAAGATTTCGGTAACTTGTTGTTTAAAGTTGAATTAAACTGTTTGATAACAATACTTGAAAACGTATTGGAAATAAAAGTTGTTTATTATGCGTTTCTTTTTCCTTTCAGTATATAATGATATAAATATTTGAATATAAATATAAAAAAAAATATCCTTATACATGTATTAATATTCTACAATCAAGGAAATATTTTTGATGAATCCAAGTAGAGGATCAGGAGTGATAAATCCCTGCCGTAATAAGACCAAATGAGTTGATTGCTATGCAGTTCTAATAAATCAAGAATACTTTCATTGTACAAAGACATCTGTTCTAAATAATGCAATTTGCATTCTGAAAACGCAAGAAAATGATTCTTTCTTTCATCATAATTTCTTAACAATTATCGTTTTTCTCGTTTTTCTCCATTGTAATAATATACCAACGATACGAAGGCTGGTACAGTGCAAAGGAATTAAACGTATGAAGATTAATCTAAGAGTTCAAACTGCCAATATAAAAATTAGGAACAGTCAAGATCATAGTGGAAAAGCTAACTCTGGAGCTGGAAAAATCAATACTAAAGATTGAAGATGGAATTTCTTACTTTAAAATTGCATATTTTAGATTTGTACGGCCAAGAAGAAGTCATTAACCGTCTTTGCATTGAAACCTGTACGAAAATTTACGCCCTGATTCCAGGCGGAATTCAGAAGACGGAATCCGCCTATCATCTATAAGGAACTTAATAAGACTATTAGACGGAGTCCGGGTGGAGTCAGGGCGTAATAGGGCTCGAAATATTTAAATGAGTTAAGGCGTATTCCACCTTTCCTAATATGGATTACCTCCAAGGCGGAATCCGCCTTACCTGCAAGGCGCATTCCGCCTTACTTGCAACACGTATTCCGCCTAACCTACTAGGCGTATTCCACCTGACCTGCAAGGCGTATTCCGCCTTACTTACAATAGGCGTATTCCGCCTAACCTGTAAGGCATATTCCGCCTAACTTCAGGTAGGTGTATTCTGCCTTACTAGCAAGGGGTATTCCACCTAAAGGTTAAAGGGATTTTGCATTAATGTTTACATAATCTACATGTCCTTATCACAGTGTATCAGATCTTTTACAAACTTAACAATAAAAAAAATTAAATTATACAAATCATATATCATTTATTTTTTCGTTCTTTAAAATTCAATGACTACAAAACATGTTTACATTTGAAAATGTCCTGCCTTGCCTTCACAAGAAATTAAAAATTAAAAGATAAAAAACATTGTACCAAAACTTGATTGAACAATTAGCTGTAAATTTACAACTAGTTGAATATTTTCACAAAATTCTTTCTGTCTGTAAGGAAATAGTGTGTCATTTTTATAGTTCTCCTTCCTAAGTTGTCAGTGGTATAACTTAGCTATCTTTCCCATGATTCCAGCTTTCTTTGCCATTCTTCACACAACACATGATGAAGTCTGTAAAGAAAATACCAAACTGATATGAATTTGTCATTTTCAAAAAACTCTTCAACATTTCTCAATAAAATGACTCTTTTATAAAGAATGAATCCTCTAAACACTGCAATCTTGCCCCTTTTTACATGCAGAATTTTACCCTTTTAAATAAGAAAATTGTTATCTTATAGCTAGAGTCTTCAAGTAGAGTCTGTATAGATACTAATAAAGGATTGTTTAGGAAAGAGACTTTCAATATATACATGATATCGATTAAATAAAGTCGCATATTTCACTGTAAAACTTCGCCATTACGGCTATGTAGGTCATTTTAGAACAAGTATTTGAATGAGAAGGCGGGGCGTCTATCAAGCGTGCGATTTGTTTGAATACATTAGAGTGTGTTCGAATTGTACTTAGTTTTATGATGAAGTGACACCTAAAACCTCTTATTTAGTGCTAGAGACCCACCAAATATAAATACCCTTTTTTTAATTTGTCAGACTTAACTTCGTTTTTTTTTCTGTTTAACTTACGAGTCATATTTGAAATGATTTATTAGAAATTCGTCAAATTATTTATATATAAAGAAACACAATTATTTTGAATAGAACGTATAATGCAGAATATATACACTTTTTTCATACTTTAAAACTTCATTTTTATAGAGATAATAATTAACCCATTAAAGCTTATGATTAATACATTAAAGCTCATTACATTTACATGAACAACTATTTCATAGCATGTGCATATATGATTTTGCGAAATTCGTGTGCTACACAAAATACGGTTGAAATATGATATATATAAATTTCACTCTGTGTATAAAAAATAAAATCGCAAGAAAGTGAAAATTAAACGTCAGTTTAACGTCAATATTATCGTTGCTGGATATATAAAAAAAACATCAGTGTTAGACAAGAGTACTTTGTACAGTCCAGATTGCATTGTTTAAAAAAAAATTACGCCCTTCATCATTCGATTTTTTGTTACTAATATTTAATTGTTGTTATATTTTGTGCCGATGTAAAAAGTTGTAACATGTCGTCAGAAGTAACCCGGAATTTCCCTCTGTTCAATTAGGGGTGCATTTTGTGCAATGCGTTCGTCCAGTGACTTTTCATCCGATATATATATAAGCCTTATTAACGTCTCATACTTCAATTTCTTTTCCGTAAGGTTTCTTAAATTGGAAGTACGCTTTTGTAACAAATGGTTTATTTTCTAAAGATATGTTAAATTAGTATTTTTTTTTCAAATAACGATCTATAAAATTAACGAAAAACTGAGAGAAAAATATTTAATATCTTCTAAGGTTTAATGAACGTACCACTGATGTGATAAGTACATGTACTTAGGAACAAATATACCCACAGTATTTTTTTTTAAAATTCTATATTAATGAGGTACAAGTAGTAAGCGCAAGGTTTATGCTACAAGCCTCCAATATATATTGATAAATGCCGAAAAAACAATCAAACAAAATCAACTGAAATATCGTTATAATAACAAATAAATAAAAAAAATGTGAATATGTCCTGAATATACCGGCATAAAAATTTACAAATTTAAAAGAGTACTTTAAATTAGTCTAATTATACCAATTTGAAAATGATTTGACCATCGATAGCTCGCAACAATGGACACGAAGTCGCATTGATCTGCTCAAAGCATGAAAAGTGAATAGATTTGAGTCACGTGTTCAATGCTTTGTTATTCATGAGGTCAAAGGCGGATTGAATTTGTAAACAAGGTGCCTTTACTATAGGGACAGGTACCCGAGATTTTGCACCTTTTGGGAAAATAACATGTGAGCGCACGACTGTTTCAATTTCTTTCATGAATTAAAATTACAAGTATAACTCTTTACATTGACCGTATTTATTACAACTTGAAAGATCAATGCGCTCATATAAAAAATGGGCTGGCAAAGTGGGGGTGTGGCCTAAAGTCTATGAGAAATAGATGTAAACAACGTACCCCTGCTATATTAATCAGATAAATACCCAATTACAGTGCAAGGAAGTGAAAATTGAAAATGAAATTTATAAACTACAATGTTTGATGGAAAGATTGAGACAAAAATATGTAGAAAATGTTTAAACTTATTTTTTGTAAATTATCGGGGGGCCAAATTTGGACGTTTAAACGATTCATTCTTCTGTTCTGTATTACAGATCATTCAGGATGCAAACATTCTTATGTGATTTTTCTCAACACTAAAACTTACCTAATATAAGAATAATTTTCATATATGTCTATCAGTTGTCTGATATCTTCATGTATTCTTACCTCTCATAATCTGCTGTAGCGGTCAGCCGGTTATGTCCATAGATAAACTGAGATGGACGGTGGCTCCTGGCCTTCATCCTGACTTGCTGCAGTTGCCGCTATCCTCATTTTACCTTTATCAGCCATAATCGCTGAGTACTTGTACAGCTCAAAGTGCTGAAATGTATAATACTGCAATCAGTGCACTGCAGAAGATCCTAATATTTACTATTTCAATATTAAAGAGGTTTTAATCTCTTATTCAATTATTTCATAATTTTCATACATTTGAAAAAGGTACTAACATAAGACCCCTTTCTACAAATATATTTTTAAATAAACATGTATAATCAAATGATAATAAATAGCTACTCATGAAATATGTAGATCTAACTTATATATATCATATATGAATAATACTCTTATCCATGATTGTTAATTTGTTATGGAATGTATAAATGGTGACTTACAGATCTCAAACCTGACTCTTGATCCAAACTTAGCAGCGAACTACACTTTTAAAAGGGTGTTTATGTAACAATTCCACTAACCGCTGGTTAAAACACTGTGCTTACTCACAAATAACAAAATTTCCAATCGTGATTTTAAAACTGGAAGTAAGTGACGGTCGCTAATTTTAAAGGGAAATCATATTTCCAGAAAACACATTAAAATAAGAAAAGGACATGTTACTTAATAATTGAACAATGAATCAATTTAGTTTTGTTCCTATCTTTTATCTCTGCACTTTTAAAAATTTTACTCCAAAAGGAAACACTCATAATATTGAGAAAATTTGCAATTGGGGGGGGGGGGGTGTGAGGCTACCCTACATTTGGCAATAAGAAATGGCGCCTGAAATTTTATGCGCATTTTTTTTAAAGATCTGGGTTAGTGGAGAGTGTATTGTGAATACATGGGACCTCAATGCTATTGGAATTAATTAACAGAGTAATGGTGAAGTCCAAATTTTGGCTGTACGAAATTAAAAAGAAAGAGAGAGAGGGAAAAAGAAAGAACAAAACAAAACACGGCTTAAAATTTAACTTACCGTTGTTTTCCACATTTATTCCTGAACCGAGGTGCTTCCCTGTCCATTTAGCACATGATGTTCACTGCCGAGCATAATTTGCTTCACTTCAAACTCAGTAGAATAACACTAAAAGTTGTCACTCTTTTTTCCCAAAAACACATAACGAATGAACAATCATCTTCTTAGTAATAATTTACGGGCATACATCTTCCCTAAGTTCCTTTTTAACTGAATGAAATATAAAGATTCATCAACCAAATTGACAACAGTCATGATCATCACTTTCAAAATCTGCATTCAAACTGACCAGCGCATTCAAAAAGAGGCTCTGGCTGAAAACGCCCGCCCCTGTAGAGGGGGTCAAGCAGGTGCGCATTGGAAACGTATATCTGGTATACAATATGGCAGCAAAAAAACCTTACTCATCAAGGAATCGCAATATTCAATGTTATATAAAGCATAATACTCGAAGTCAAATAAATTGATTAAAAGTTATGTTTGACTATTTTTTACGAATATCTCCCCCATTTGTGCCTTAGGAAAACAGGGTCATCTAGAGGACTAAAACATGTGGTCATAATTTAAACTGTTCACAATCCTAAGATTAATGCAGATTCCGTCTAAGAGCTAAGCCGGAAAACGTCTAACAAAAATACGCCTAGGATTTAAGGTGGAATCCACCTAAGATATGAGGCGGAAAACGGTTAGAGCTTGGACGTTTTCCAGGTCCGTCTTAGGTACGGCTTGGTCCTCCTAGCACTTAACCGGAATCCGTCTCAGTCCGCCCGGACTCCGGCCGGAAAACGGTTAAGAGTTTCGTACGGGAATGTTTTTCTAACGCACAAGTTCCACCGTACACAGATAAAAAAATTAAATCCAAAGTAGGAATTAAAGAAGGAAAAGAAATAGAATGCAAAACAAAATATGGGCGAATCTAATAGGAAAAAAAGTCGAAAGCTGGTCGTATGCTGGTAGCCGCCATCGATTTTGGAACCACGTATTCTGGTTATGCGTACTCATTCAAAGACAACTGGGCAAAAGTTCTTACTAACAACTGGTCGGGAGGGGAACCATTGTCGTACAAGGCTCCCACTGCGCTTTTACTAAATCCTGATAAATCCTTCAAAGCTTTCGGATTTGAGGCAGAAAACTGCTATGCTAATCTGACAACAGAAGAGGATGATACTTGCAAAGATTATTACTTTTTCAAACGGTTCAAATTGATTCTAAAAACAGAACTGGAAGAGGTATGAACAAGCAATAGCTATGACACGCCAAATTCACAAAAATGAGATAAACATAGTTTCACAGTCGATAAACTAAGTTTATTGGTTGTAAACTATAGTTTACGAACTGTAAACTATAGTTAACAACGTTAATCTATATTTTACATCTGTAAACGTTAACTATAGTTTACATCTGTAAACCATAGTTAACGCGATAATCTAAGTTTCACAACCGTAGAACTATGCTTAACACCGAAAACAATCATTTGCGATTGCAAAACATAGATTATCTGATAAATACAAACCGTTAACTATAGTTAACGATCTGTTAAATATAGTTTCACGATTTGTGAAACTATGATTAACAACTCTGAACTATAGTTTACGATTGTAAACTATAGTTTACAAACGTGAATCTATGTTTATCAACAAAACCTACTGTTAACTACGGAAGCGTATTAGTGCCACTTTGACACTTCACTTTTTTTAATTTCTACACTTTAATCTGTAAACTCTACACTTTAATCTGTAAATTTTACACTTTAAAGTGTAAAATTTACACTTTAAAGTGTAAAATTTACACTTTAATCTGTAAATTTTACACTTTAATCTGTAAATTTTACACTGAACACTTTAAAGTGTAAATTTTACACTTTAATCTGTAAATTTACACTTTGATCTGTAAATTTTACACTTTTTTCTGTAAATTTTACACTTTAAAGTGTAAATTTTACACTTTAATCTGTTAATTTTACACTTTAATCTGTAAAATTTACACTTTAATCTGTAAATTTTACACTTTAATCTGTAAATTTTACACTTTAAAGTGTAAATTTTACACTTTAATCTGTAAATTTTACACTTTAAAGTGTAAATTTTACACTTTAATCTGTAAATTTTACACTTCAATCTGTAAATTTTACACTTTAAAGTGTAAATTTTACACTTTAATCTGTAAATTTTACACTTTAATCTGTAAAATTTATACTATAATCTGTAAATTTTACACTTTATTTGTTTATTCACATAGTCAAATAAGCATATTCATACATCTTTAGTAACGCATTTTAAAGCCAACAGACCGTTAATATTGCAAGATAATATTTAATTCTGATTTTCTATTTTACAATAAATGCAAATGATAAGCAAATTAGTATTACTGATACAAGTAAAACTTTTCTTAGAATATAAATGAAGAGCATATCAAACATATGCATGCATGTACATATTCTAGATGAATGTGATATTGATATCAAAGTATGTTTATATTATGTTTCTATTTTGGAACAGCAATGAATTTTTATATATTTTGATTCAATGACGTTTCTTTGATGCTACGTTAAAAAAATGACCGTATTTTTAAAATATTATTTCATCATGACCATAGAACCATATACTTGTAATATCAAACTTAACTGCAAATAAAAAAATCTTTGAGATATTTATTTTTACTGTTAAGTACACTGTTCATATACTAATAAACATGTACGAGTACATGTAAAATAAAAATATGCAAACAATTGTAAACATCACAGTTAAATACTTTTTTCATGTTTCAGAGGTAAAACATCACAAATCGACCATTTGATCATAACTGATAACAGTTTAGGTTGTTTAAAATAAAGTGTAAAATTTACAGATTAAAGTGTAAATTTTACAGATTAAAGTGTAAAATTTACAGATTAAAGTGTAAAATTTACAGATTAAAGTGTAAAATTTACAGATTAAAGTGTAAAATTTATAGATTAAAGAGTAAAATTTACACTTTAAAGTATAAAATTTACAGATTAAAGTGTTAAATTTACAGATTAAAGTATAAAATTTACAGATTAAAGTGTAAAATTTACACTTTAAAGTGTAAATTTTACAGATTAAAGTGTAATTTTACAGATTAAAGTGTAAATTTTACACTTTAAAGTGTAAAATTTACAGATTAAAGTGTAAAATTTACAGATTAAAGTGTAAATTTAACAGATTTTGGTGTAAATTTTACACTTTTAAGTGTAAAATTTACAGATTAAAGGGTAAATTTTACAGATTAAAGTGTAAAATTTACAGATTAAAGTGTACAAATTAAAAAAAAGTGAAGTGTGCAAGTGGCACTAATACGCTTCCGTAGTTAACGCTTTATTCAGACAGATAAACTTAGATTAGCATTCGTAAAGTATAGTTAACGACCGTTAAATATAGTTTCACAGATGAAAACTATACTTAACGAATCGTTAACTATACTTAAAGCTGACATGAATTCTTAAAAACGCAACATTTTCATCTATGTACGACTTGTTTCATACCAATAGCAGTATTCCGCCATATTTCTTTCAGATACCTTGTCTCATTGTAACGATATATACCCCAATGCGCTCGTTACACTTGAATGGTTTTTTGGCTTGGGTATCGACTTGTGCACATCTCCGATGGTAAAGCATATGAGAACACATGAGGTTATCAAGACATTTCAAAACCACAATAAACAACATAATAATCATATTTCTGAATGATTATTGATTTAAATCAAAAGTAAAAAAGAAAAAAAGAAAAAAAAACCGCAAGTTTGGGAGAGAAATTTAGTTGCATGTGTACGTAATTTACAGTGCAGCAATTTTTGCAGAATAAACTTGAAATAAAAAGCAGTAAAATCCGCAAACACATTCCGAAATCATAATCATTTTAATTGAACAAAACAACCAATGTTTTTGATTTGCAGGTCCTATGCAATTGATGCATATCGAGAAAACGCCTCGAACGCTGTAAACGTACTCATACCTGATAATAAGATCACTGCATTGGTTGGAAGATGTGCACAAGTCAAGTTATAAACACCCTGAATTCCATTTATTGAAATATGTATCACAAAAAAGAAATAAACTCCATAAAAGCCCAATAGTAAACACACTGTCACTACTCCGTACAGACTAGCACATCGATACAGTCACTTAGTCCGTGCTGATCAGATTTTGGTCAGGGAAAATATCACAAGTGGAAAGAGAAGTTATTTGGTATTTTGGTATTTGCGCTGCTGAAAGGGGGGGGGGGGTATCATAACTGCTGTTCATAAAGGTATAACTGTAAATTGTCTATATACATGAAGTTCTAATATACATTCTATACAAAGTCATGTATGTAGTCTGCAGTTGGTTTGCGTCGCAAAATTCATTTCAATTATAACTGATTATTTTAGTACTAATCTCAAATCTAAACCAAGTAATTTGATGTACGGTAATTATTTACTTCAAATCTTAAAAGCAATTAACCAGAATACAAATTTTTATGTGTATATCTATACGTTCGTTAATACACACAAGGAGAAAGGCCATTGCCTGTTCAGATTGACATTTAGGCATTTGATTTTTTTTTGGGGGGGGGGGGGCATGCAAAAATAATTGACAGACATTTCTGCCGAATTAATTTTGAGATTCTTTTTTTAAAATGTGTCACTCCGACCACACAGTATGTGCATTTTGAGGGACGTAACTGTTTGAGAGGAACGTAACTGTTTTATAATTATGCTGTTATAGGAAGTCTTTCGAGATTTCAGTATTCCTGCCTGACAGTCTAGCTTTGTTTGTTTTTTATACAAATATAATTTCTGTAGGTGTATTTGGGAGATGATTTTAAAACCAAGGGTAGGAATACTTGAAACCTGGTTGAATACGGATAATTTTTATTTACTCTTTTGTATATTGGACTCCCTCTCTCTCAGTCTCTCTCTGTAACCATCCGGTAGGACAATAATAGGTATAAAATCCTACGCACTTTGTGCTGTACCATTTATTAAGCCTTAGGACATATCAAGGATTTTTTTCAGGCGGGATGTGGAAACTTAATAAATTGAATAATAATTTTACTTTGGACAAGATATTAACCTAAACGCCCAATTTGAAAGAGACACAAGAGGTATCGTGAGCAATGACCTCACTAAATGATACCCCCGCCTCCCATATGGTTATAACGGCAAAGTGCATATATATATATATATATATATATATATATATATATATATATATATATATATATATATATATATATATATATATATATATATATATATATATATATACTGTAAACCAACTTTTATTCGCGTGCGAGAAATTTTCGCGAAGTTCGCGACAACGTCGTCATCGCGAATATTTCTCGCCGCGAACCAGACTTTAAAGTCTCTCTGTCTATTTATAACAGATCAAAAAAGGTCTGATCGCGAAAATTAATCGTCGCCAACTAGTTTACCCCTGGTAAATCGCGAAATAAAGTCGTCGCGAATAAAAGTTGGTTTACAGTATATATATATATATATATATATATATATATATATATATATATATATATATATATATATATATATATATATTGCTATTGTCGGTAAACCCAAACTATGTGTCAGATCAAAAAGTAAATATGAGTTGCAAAATGGTAATATGTAATATATTGTATGTATATTGAGATTCTGTGAAAGTTTCATTCAATTTCACTCAGTGGTACATGTATAAGAGGATTTGCGGATAAGAGATGGGTACCCCAAAGCGTAACAGACATCTACGGACGGACGGACGGACGTACAGACGGACGGACATAACGATTACTATATACGTTTAACGTGAAATATACATCACAGGAATAGGTACATTGGGAACTTTCTCAAATACCTTCTCAAACGTGTCGAATCTGGACCTGGACAACAGACAAGAGAATTTTTAAAAAGCTAATTTTAGGTAGAATGTGGAATTCTCACGGGGAGTTTGCTCTCTCTCTCTTCTTATATGCTTTGGCTAATAATCATTAATTATTGATGTCAAAAAACTTAATTCACTTTAAATTCTATTTTCATTATCATTGTACCACAGAATCAAACTCGTTTATTATACCCCACGCAACAAGTTGCGTGAGGTATGTTTTCGACCCGTCCGTCAGTCAGTCAGTCAGTCACTCCTCTTTTTCTTTTTTTTTGGTCAGCGCAACTCCTCATAAACCAATGCATAGAATTTTGTTAAACTTTGCAGATATTTATAGGAGACAATGTGTAGATTTGCATATCACCAGGAAATTCCGAATCCTTTATTTTTTCGGGAATTTCTGCACTTTTACATTTAGATTTTGGCCATATCTTGAATATAGAGATAAGCAGTTTGTCAGCGCAATTCCTCATAAATCGCTGCGCACAATTTCGTCAAACTTTGCAGATATTTAGGACGCAATGTGTATAGATGTGCATATTACCAGGAAATTACGATTCCTTTATTTTTTTCTGGGAATTTGACTTTTGTGGGTGTGTGGGGTATGTGAATTTGCTCACTTTTTCTTTCATTTTGCATTAAATTATAAATAACTTTAAATCATATTATATTAACTTTAAATCAAATTATATTATCTCTAATAAAGCCAATACACAGTATCTATTTGATAATATTTGATCATAAAGAAATCCGATCTGTTTCAGACGTTTTTCGTAAACTGTTTTTATGAGAGTGTTATGCATGTTTTATTACCCCCCCCCCCCCCTCCTTTCACAGTGAATGATTCGTAATAATGCATGCTTTATTATAAATTTGATGAAGTTAAACCATGTTTTCAAAAATTTTATTTACAACATTTACAGACAAGAGTAATGTTTATTCTTGAAAAAAAAATTATTTGCATTTTCTTCAGTCAACCACGGAGCTTTCAACCTTTGATATTTTCCCTGAACAAATAAAATGATCGGCATGGACCACGTCTGTCCAAGCAGTTTTTACCGTTGAGTTAGCAATGGATTACATGATTTCTGAGATGCATTTTTCAATAAAAGTAAAATAGGATAATTCTTTCCACATGTGCACATCCCTGTAACGATAGCAGTATTCAGGTAAATGTTTTTATCAAGTGTTGCGTTTGACGCGTTTTCTTGACTGACCTGCATGGATTTTTGCTGTACTTGAATGTATTCCGTGTTAGTGTATTTTCTATATTGCAGCAAATGCATTCAAAAATAATTTAATTCTCGGTATAGTTCTAGTTTTTGTTGAAGTTTTACTTTTTCAAACATGTATTGGTCAGTTTATGGACTTCTAAAAACTATGCTATCGGAGATGTGCACATGTCGACAGCCAGGCTAGAAAATCACTCAAGTGAAACAATTGTAAAAGGCTATATATAGCAGGTACAGGTGGCCAAAAATTTTCGATTAAAATATGGCGGAATTGAAGAAATATGGCGGACAAAGGCGTACAGGAATGTAGTAAGTCGTACAAAGATGAAAAATGATGCCTTTTTAAGAGTTCATGTCAGCTTTAACGAATTGTTAACTACATGTATAGTTAACGGTTTGTAAACTATAGTTTACAGTCGATAAACCTAGTTTATCAATTGTGAAACCAGGTTTATCTCATTTTTGTGAATTTGGCGTGCCATAAATAGCACATACTACTGGAGTATGCATTATATACATCTTAATTTTCATTTTACCTTTTTTAATATGAATCCCGTATACAGGTGATGTAGGCATATTGGTGCAAAAGTAAAGGAAATACATAATAGATGTAATGATTCATGAGTCATATATAACTTTTAAAAAATCGTTAAACTTGAATTAAAAAATAATATTTTCAATATTGTTTGTTTTTAATTTTTTTTACTTAGTGACAAGTTAACAAGTAAGAAATAATGTTTACTTATTTTTGTTTTTTATATAAAAAGCGTGTTCACAGAACAACACAATGTAAGGATATACGTGGGAAAACTGTGGATGGAATGTTGGTATTCACGCATTCGATGGAATATTTGAAAAATCATATGCTGAAGGCATTAAACGATTCTCATACACTTGAAATAAAGATCACAGACATCGACTTCGTTATAACAGTGCCAGCAATATGGGACGACACGGCCAAAATGTTTATGAGAGAAGCAACTGAAAAGGTAATTTTATAATATTTCTTTTTTGATGAATATCCCGAATATTGTTTTCTTTGGCCCGGGAAAAAATCCCCTAATGGTAATTACAGCAGTTGATGCAATCAATCTGTATAAAAAGGGCAAAATGGGTTTTTGTAAATTGAACTAAAAGAAAATTTATTTAAGGAAATTAAAGCTATGTGATTTTTGAGTTTTTATCATAATTATTATTTCATTGAATTTTTTTCATTTCATTATTTTTGCAAAATAAAAATCATGTAAATGTATAGAAAAAGGGTTTTTGTTCATAAAATAAGGTGAAAACACAAACTGACATACAATGTAGTTGTAAACACGTGAAGTGATCCTACACGCATACAGTTCCAATATCGTATTTTCTTCATATAGCCTGAAATATACATGTACACATACTTCAGGGATGGGGTAATGGTAATATGTAATGGTAATTGACTGTAATTAATTACAAATTTCGATGTAATTGAAAGTAATGTGTAATTGACCAAATTTTCAATTACAAGTAATGGTAATTTAATTAATTACTTTCTAAAAAGGCATGTAATTCACAATTACTTTTTCAATTACATTCAATTACACTGATTTTAAATAAATGAAAAATAGTCTCCTATCCCTCAATTTCATAAACATTATTTATGAAAGCTAGGTTAATAACTTATATTCTGGACCAAAAATTTTTAATTTCTTGAAAAGAACGTTCCTTTTTATGTAAAATGTTGTTTAAATACAGTGTCCCTTTTCATTTAAAAAAAACAAACTTAAATCAAATTAATCTTTGTAAAGTTTACAAATAAAATTCATATTTTGATTTTTTAATTAATTAATCCATATGAAAATAAGAAGTCCAATGGCTTCTAATCCTTTTGTTGGCCATATCTTCAGCTTGTGTTGGAAGTTATTAACAGGTGCTAATTAGTGTCTTGGGGTCATATACTTATTCCTAAATAAACATTTTTCACACCTTTGACTTTGTCTGTTGGTGTTTTTATACATACTCTTTGACTTTAAATTGTAGTGTGGCACAGAATAAGTCAACTACCCACATTTTGAGGTAAACCTATGATGCTGAAATAAAGAAATATAAAGGGAAATAATTAAAGCATCAAAAGTACATTTAGCAGAAATTAATCACTTATTTATGGGAAAGCTTAAAAATGATTCCAAAATTTAAACACATGAATTAGGTAAAACCATCTGTAAACTTTCTACTAGTCAGTATCTACATGTATGCACTTTTCTCACAAATACCCCAGTGGAAAGAACCTTCATCATGGGAGGAAAATCTTCAAATTAATCGAACAAATATTATGTTAGGGGACACAGTATTTGAAAAATGTATGAAGCTTTTAATAATATTGTATTAAATGTTGTAATGAAAATAATCTCTTATAAATGTAAAGGAATAAACATGACTATCTACTTTTATACATGTATTCTTGAATGTAATTTGTAATTTAATTAATTACATTTGCAAAGTAATTGTAATTTAATTAATTACATTTCAAAATCCATGTAATGGTAATGGTAATTTAATTGAAAATTTTGGGAAAGTAATTGTAATTTAATTAATTACTATCCTATGTGATTGACCCCATCCCTGACATACTTCACATTTTCCTATATCTGTAAATGTTAAAAAGAGATGTTTCCTGTTACATTTATAAATATATATTTTGCAATAACGTTTCACTGTAGGCTGGATACCTGGAAACCAGCTACTATTTGCTTTGGAACCCGAGGCCGCGTCTATTTACTGTCAGCTGATGTATCTGGAACCTCAGAACGATTCCAGCTTTCGTGGAACAGAAACAGACTCTGATGCAAAGTATATGGTCGTGGATCTCGGAGGTACTCAAAAGAATATTATATTATACTCAGTATTCTTTTTTTTTAAAAACTCAGTGGTATGAATAATTGTTATCAAAAAGGGGCAAGATAACAGCTGATTCTTCATTTATTTTCTCTGTCTCTACTATTTTCACATTTAGGTGGAACAGCAGATATCACCTTGCACCAACTTCAGAAGACCGGCACAATCGTGGAATTGACCCCCGCGTCCGGGGGACTATGGGGTGGAACACGTATAGATAAAGCTTTTGAGAGTTTTCTTCTAGATTTATTTTGCAAAACTTCGATGGAAAAATTTCAAACTGAGGATGATGATGCCGAAGATAATTTTGACTTTTGGCAGGGATTTGAGGTCAAGAAAAGAGGATTTAATTTTGACAAGGAGACAAGAAATGTCCATATACGTATTCCAATGGGATTGACAAACTTCGCAAAAAAAGTCCACAGTGAGCGGGATGTCAATAAAATAATAGAAAAATCGAAATTCAAAGGAAAGGAAATCAGATTTGAAGCTGGAAAAATTCACATGCAAACAACAGTAATGAAGAAAATTTTTCAAACAACCGTAGATGATATTGTAAAACACCTTAGAACACTTATCGAAAACGCTGGAAAAGATTTGAGAGTAATGATAATGGTAGGGTTTTTTTCAGAATGTTCTCTTGTTCAAAACTGTGTTCGTCAAACATTTGAAATCAAGGGCAAACGTCGGGTTATAACACCAAATCAATGTGGACTGGCGGTTCTAAAAGGTGCAGTGTATTTCGGACATCATCCGGAATTGATATCGGAGCGCGTAGCAAGATACACGTATGGGATCCAAATATGGCCAAAATTTGTCGAAGGAGAACATAAAGAAGCAAAGCGGGATGTCAGAGGTTCCGAAGACCGGTGTAAAGACGTATTCTTTAAGTTTGTAACCAAGGGAGACCGATTGAAAGCAGGGTTCATTAAAAGTCACATTTTCAGGGCATTGAAATCAGCCGATGGTGACCTTGAATGTGGCATTTTCATCTCAAACAAAGACAATCCTAAATATGTTGACGAGGACGGTTGTGAAAAACTCGGAGTTCTTAAAATTGACGATGAAAGAGGAACAGAGGTCGAGGAGTCTCTGATTTTTGGACATACAGAGCTGCATGCAAAGGCCTGTAACTGCTCAACGAAAAAGGAATGCAGCGTCACTTTCGATTTGCTGTCAGAGAAAATCAAATATCCTTCCAAAACTAAAATCTAGACACAAGGATGTCTGAAAGCTTTCTGTGATACGTTCAACAAGAGTAGAATAAGCATTTAATTCCTTAATTATTATCATTAGATACCGTAAACATTTTAACAATGTAATTACATCAAAATTTTGAATTTTTTAAAAAGTCGTCTTTCCTATGCTTCAAATATATATTTCATTGAATAATACAATAAGGATTGGGCATCAGGCAAGACCTATGTACATGTACAGCCTTTCCTTGTATCACAATCAAGTATTATTCATAAATATTATATTAAAAACAGTTTACAACCTCCTAACTGTATACATATCATTTTTAAAAATACTGTTCCATCTAAAAATAATACAAATATTTAGAAAAAATATATATACATGTATATTTACGTAAAAGGTTATTTGACAAGCAGTGTTCCTAATTTAGTCTCTTGGAAGAATGAATAAATTTTTGTACATATGAAAATATTTTACAATTTGTTTGATAAGAGTATTGACATTTTCCTCTAAACAGAGTGTCCAGTTCAAAAACAACATCAATATCATTACTTTTTTACTAATAAGTTTCTTTCAACATTAAATGATGGACAGTTGATTAAAAAAATGTTCCTAAATGTGCATTAAGATTGCTAGCATTGTATTCCCTTTTTGTTTTATAACGCTCAAAAATTTATTTAATAATTTATTTACAATATTGTAGCCATATATTTATTTTGACATTTTTCTTCTTTACTGTAGTTCTTTGCTCCTCAAATAATTTCTTTCAGTCATTCATATAGGGGTGGATATTATTTTAAGTTTTGATTCCATTGGTTATTACTGCTAACTTACTGTGCAATTATTTGTATATTTAAAGATATACATTTACCATTTTATTACGTATTACATTGTTTTATGATTCATTTTCTATTTTTCAAATAATGTCGTGAATAATTAAACATTTGTTACATTAAAAGTTCAAATCTTATGTGAGCTCTTTTATGACCGAGCAAATGAAAAAAAATCTTAGACAATTGTTAGTGCGGAAATAATGGTCAAACAATTTGTATGAAAAAAACATGACAATATTAGACTTAACCAAAGATTGTAATATTTTTCTGGGATATGAGTATGCTACCTATGCTTATGGTATGTTGCTACATAAATATATAGGACTCCAAAGTCCGATGGTCACGCCAAAATCTGATGGTCTGCGCTAAACCCCGATGGTTTGATACGCCAAAGTCCCATGGTGCCGAAAACAATTAGCGTTTATTACGTCATAGTAATGTTGTGCCAAACTGCGATACCGCTCCATGCCAAGTACCTTTTTTTTTTTTAAATAAATAAAATTATTATAAATACAAAGACTAACTCTCTTTTTTTATATATGTGCAATACTTACACATATCAGTCGAAAAATGCTTAACAACTTAATAACCTAAATATTTGGGTTGGTGCAGGACTGATCCAAATAAGTTCAATGGTGCGCGAGGACTACCCTAAAAGTTCTCGGTTGAGTTCGGAGAAACATATTAGCGATCAAGGACTAATCCTTATCAGTCGAACTGTATACGAGGACCGACCCTAATACCTCTGGTGGATGAAAACAATAAGAAATATCAGTACAATTGTATGCGAGACGAGTACTGAATCAATGGAATTTGAAT